AACCATAACCCTGAATTATGACAAGTGAAATCGCCTGTTGGTGAATTGTTCCACCCTTAATCATCACTACCATATATTCTTGGGTCTTTCGGTAAAGTCACGTAGATAGGTTCAAAGAAAATAACAAAAAAATAACAAAAAACTACACTACTACATTCATCAAAAACAGCATGTACATATGTTTTGCCCTTTTGTCATTCCACTGCTGGATGAGAGCCTCCCCACATTGGGGGTTATTGAACCGTACATCAAGCTGGTCAGTGCAGATTGTGAATGCAGGGAGCATTGATGCGCTTGACTTTCGTTCACTGCCCACCATGTAGCCCCACAGCTTTGTGACAACATGTTTGTACATGGTGGTCACCCATTCAAGAACTATGCATGCTCAAATCTGCTTAGCTTCTAAAGTATGATGATATTTGGTCACAGGAGATAATCATTGTCACCACCATTACCATCTTAATCCTCATCACCACTACCGTCACCTTTTTTATCATCATTATCAGATCCACCATTAGCATCAGGACCATGACCAACACTTCCACCATTATCATCACTATCATTATCATCATCATCACCACCACCATCATTCTCACCCCCACAATTATCACCATCACCATTATCATCATCATTGCTACCACTGCCGCCATTAACATCACTGTCATGAATGGCGCTGTTCGCTGTCAGAAGGCGAGTGTTTTGTGCTTGTGTTCCAAGCGTTACCATAAATAATTATCACCTGTACTCGGCGGCCATCACCACATTGTCTCTGCCCGTCGCTCAGCCGCCACCGTCGAGACCGCTTTACTCATGGCTGAGCACAGTGGGGCGCCGTGCTTTTAAAATTCCCAATTGAAGAAGAATGTTGTTTATTCAGCGTCATTAAACACGAGTTCATGGTAATGGGGATGCACGGGGTCATTGGCACACCTGGCTCGGAGAGCCGGCTTGCAGACAGAAAACATTTTTAAAAAGCGTGAAACTCTACAAGACATCGATTTTTTGTCTTGTCCTTTGTAACCTCTCCACTAACCTCCATACACCCCCCCCCTTCCCCCAATTACCGTCTGCCTTTCCATCCACTCACTCATCCACGCTTCCTCCCCAACACACCACCCCCCAGCAAATATACCTTTTGCTTCGTGACATGGCAAGGTCAATGATGTGAGTGGACGGATGGGATGGAAATTATAATTGTGGATGGGTGGTGGAAATAATTCTAAAGAAGCAGCAGAGAGAAGAGCAGTACCATTGAAAATATAAAATAATAATGTTACAGTTCTACACTTCACTGAATCAATCTCTTAACCTCTCAACACTCTGACCCAGGCTGGCTCTCTACACCCCCCATCACCCACTCCCACCCTACCGGGCCATCTCATCAGCTCTAACATTCATACAAAGTTTTAGAGGACGAGCCTTATGTAACTCATTATAAATGTTTTTTGGGTTCGATCGCGTAAGTATAAACGTGTCAAAACCCTCCCACCACCCGACACGGCCAATCATTAAGTGACTTGTCACGTAAACAAAACGACAAATAGATCACTGCTTCAGTCCACCGGCGTGTTGAAGAGTGAGTCCACAACATTTACAATTTGAGTAGTACGACGTTTCGCTGGTAATTACGTCCAGCATCATCGGGCGATTTTGCCAGAATAGTGGTGGAGGGTTGAGACACATTTATAAATAACGCGATCTAACCCAAAAAACCTTTATTATGAATAATATTGGTCGCGAAAGCCTACGTGTGAAACTGAGCCTTATGTAATTCTAACATGTAAAAATTTGGCGTTTTTTTTATTTAACCGTTCAAGAGCACACATAGTGAGATTCGTAGTCTCTTCTTCAAGGAAGTCATGAGAGCTGGTGGTAGTCGGATGTTTATTGGTTTTGGGAGGGGGCATCCTCAGTGTTTAGAGTATTACATGATATATTTTTAACAACAAGGCAAGATCCTACTGGGACCAAGAGTCTCTTTTTACAAGGGAGGCATGGGTTTAAATAAATAATATACAGCCATTCATCAATCCACTGCTGGTTGAAGGCCTCCCCACATTCGTGTCGGTCATGGGAGTTGTTGGACCGTACTTTAGGATCGGCGTGTATGGTGGCAACGACAGTGGTGGTTGTGGCGAGGCATTAATTTCTCAACAACTGCGGGATTTAGCAGAGGGAAGGAAGCGATGGCGAAGTGTGGTGGCATCAACCGCATTGTCTGTAATGACCACTTGACCACGACTGTGTGAGTTGTAAGTTGACCAAAATTAGCTCCAGACTATGGCTCACAATGGCGCACACCTATTAGGAAGGATGTCGTAGTGGAGCTTTGGTGTACGCTTTTAAAGGAGGCGACACGCTTCGCAGAGCTTCCTGCCCAGTAATTTGCCCGCAGAAATTTTTGGGCAGCCAGGCTAATCGAACAACTCGGCTTGTGAAAACCGGCTCAATAGCAAGTGCATAGAACACTGTGCTCCCCCAGCCACTTATTACGAGCTATCGCCCTGAATCGAAATGGTCTGAGTTAGAACCGTGGTTAGTGAAGCGATCGCCATTGAGTGACAAATGAGCAAAGCGGCTTTGATATTCGTTTGGCATGTAACATTTCACATCCTCCCTCATCTCACCCCTCTTGCAATTCGATAAGTTATCTTTTATTTGGGGTCATGATTCAATTCAATAACTGATTTTGTTTACTTTATATTTCCTTATTAGTACTGTCCATCTCGTTTGCTCAGTCTGTTAGCTTAAAGGTAAGATTTGCATATTTATTTTATATTGTTATGAACAGTAACTGGTTAGTTCATATGCATTAGATTCGATGCTTGCATCATGAAGAGTATAATCGATTTTGGTTATTGAATCAATGAACCGTAACATGCATAATATTCGGTTCACACTCCAGTGCCATCCAGCCAGTCACATTATAAATAATAAATGTCCTTTATCCGACCTCAAGCCTATCTTTCAGCAGTGTCTTGCAATGAACATATTTGGACAATTCCTTAATAAAAATGTTGTCCTCTTCGTAAGCCTGCTCTATTGACCGTAACAACAATTCCCTTTCTTCTCCATTAAGAGACGATAGTTAAAATTGACAGTGTTAACAGTGGGCAAACACCATTAATCGTTTGTCGTTTTCAAATCCGTACGTGTCCCCTTTTAACCAAGCCGTAGGAGTCGACCAGGAGACAGATGTTTCATACACACGCCCCAGCCACTGTGACACTCATCCCACCTCTCTCTGCTCACTTAAAATACTGTTAGATATGCCACGACTTGATTGAACAGTTTTCGCTGTCTGCGATTTGATTGAGTCGAAATGGGCCTTGCGCGAGATGTGATGGTTGTGCATCAGAGTCAATTTTCTCATCAAAGTGGCACCGCAACGCATATCACCTTAAAAAGAAGAACCCCATAAATCTCTTTATCTGCCAAAAAAAATAAAAATCTCGACTGCCAAGGAGACGATGAAACACGATCTTCTGCATTTTTTTTGCGTTACTCGGCATGGCGCTGGGTGCCCGTTTCTGGCTAGGCTTTCGGCTGGCAGTGCCCGGATCATCAAATGCTCATACAAACCCCCCATGACGCCAGGGCTCCCCTCGCTGGCTCATCTGACCACCCATCATGGAGAAAGAGAGAGAGAGTAAATGAATTCTCCCCTAATGTCCGTCAGCACGCCTTTGGAATGTAATCCATTGACGCTGGGAAGGGACTGCACTGCTGTCTGGCCAATTTGAAGTTTCAAATTTGGCTTTTTTTGTAACGATTGGGCAGGGAGACTGCCACAACTTATTTAGTAGAAATGTTGGCTAAATGTCCTCTGGTCCACCTATTACGAGTGCAGGATGTGAGGCTTCCTTAATCTTCTCTGCAGAAGAAACTCTTTCCTGCTTATTCTTCCTTATGTTTTGAAACTTGTTTGTGATTGATTCTTCTGAGAAGGTTTTCGCGGTTGTGCTATATAGCTAAGCTAGCTTTACTACCCATCTTCGCCCGGGACTTGGATTCGCCTTTGTCTCCCCATTGGCGATGTTCACACACCACACCAGTTACTCGTTTGAGGCCGAGTCGACCTATGGTAGGCCCAGGACCAGTTCAAATAATCGTCACCGGTGGTGGTCGTGAGCGGGAATCGAACTCGGGTGGCTGGGTTCGTAGCGCGGCGCGCTAACCACTATACTACAATGCGTTATGCTTCCACATGCGCGGGTCACGTGACAGATTTGACGTCACAGCTCACTTGCCGTGCAAAAAATATATGCATTATTGAGCTCCCCCCCCCCCCCCAAAAAAAACCAAAAGTGTATTTGTATAATTTTTGCATGGTGTACAGTCTGGAAAAGACCCACATGGCAAATTTCCAGTTTGTTGAATGTCGGGAAGTACGATAAACATTTTGAACAGACACACATATATTCACAACTTTGCCTTTTATATATATGGAGATGGTGTGGTTTCTGGTTGTACCGCGTGTTGTTCGGCATGATATCGAATGTTTTCTCCACGTGCTGGGAGTTTCTTCAGCGACTTATTTATGCTTTATCGATAATAATACAATTATACATGACGTAATATACATGCGGGGGAATTCACTTAGTGATGAGGGAACCGAACTATGAACTCGGCTAGCTGGGTTCGATTTCCAGCCACTATCATATTAGTGGGGAATAATATATCATAACCAATATGGGCCTCCCTTGGGTCGACTCAACTTAAAAAATAGTACCTTGTGTCCCATGTACACAGCAGCTTTGAGGAGATGAAGACAATCAAGCAATGTGCTGACCACACCACCCTGACGTGTACTGTGCCGACTTTAATAGATTCCTACTAACAGCACTTACCTACTCTACTCCATTCTGTAACGGCTATAATATGTATCTTTGTCTTTGTACGCCTGTAAGTTTCCTTCTACGCTAATTTCCTTGCTTGTCGCTCTCTGCCCTGTCCCTCCTGTCCACCACCGCCACCACCACCACCACCACCTGGTGCAGACATGTACGACCAGATCGTGAAGTTCGGCGCGTACATCGTGGATGGGCTGCGCGAGTACAAGCAGCCTGTGTTCGTGTACATCCCCCCGCATGGAGAGCTCCGGGGCGGCTCTTGGGTCGTCATTGACCCCACCATCAACCCACGCCACATGGAGATGTACGCCGACCGCGAGAGCCGGTACGAACTCCTTTCCCCCCGCTGTCCGTGTTGTCAGTTTCCTCCCCCCCCCCCCACTTCTGTCTGGGTCAGCATCCTGGAAACTATTCCTTCACCCGGCATGCCACATCCAGTATTACTTTTTCATATGGCTGTTATTACTTAGTCAAGTGGTACTCCGGCGCCTTCAGTCTATGAGCAACTACGAAAAAAATATATTGTATGTGCTGTACTGGGTTTGCATCATTCCTGCAGCCATTAAAGGCGCTTGCGTTGATCGCGGTGTTAAATAAAAATAATCAACTTCTGAATTGATTTAAGACTCCAAATCGAGACAATTCATGGAATCTGGGGAAAATAATCGTTCCACCTCTAGTAACGATACAACGGTTCATAGATTCAAATGTAAGTTCAAATTTATGAAACAGTACAAAAATATACAACATACAGCGCAAATGAGCTGTTAAAAACAAGACAATAAATATGGATTCGTTCATTTATTTTGGCTAGGCAGTAGAGGGCGCTCATGAAGCTATGCGCTTCCAGCAGCTGCATGGACTGTGCCATTGTTAATCCGACCCTGCCCTCCCGGGGTCACGAACGTGCACGTGTATATGCACCCTTGTTACCACAGCCACCACTGTCAGGGCCACCACCACCGCTACCATCACCATTTCCGTCACCACCTGCGAGGGCAGCTGGGTTTCGGCAATACCCTCACATCTTGGCTCAGGGATTTAGCCGATTTAAATGCCAGGTGCTGTGGCGTACGCATGTGATCCAGAACTTTTTTGTGCCAAGGGTCGGTGGGTCATGCAGGATTTGTGAAAGACCCAAACTTTCTGGGTTTTGAGATGGCCAGGAAATAGTATGGTAGCAAATAGGGTGTTTAATCAATCTGTGCAGACCTTATGAGTTTTAGCCCCTCTTATGGCTGTGTTTTCTTTAGTCACATTTCCTTCCACAAGCAAAACACTCCTTAAAGAAGGAACTGACACAATATTAATAGTATTACTCTTGGTATCAGTCTCTGGCCTTATCACCCACTGGTGAAATGGCTGGAGGTCAGCAGGTTTGTGAGGGATGTCAGGGAAGTGATCCAACACCACCAAGATCAACAATTTATAATTTACTTAACCCAGGATATTTTCACTGATTCCCAAGACTCCTTTTTTCTGGAGAGCACCAACGCATCGATTACTTATGTTTTCTGTAAATTATAATAAACTTATTAGCCAAAAAAAGCGTGCGCAAGCTGGAAAAATATAAAAGAGTGATAAGTGTAATTCACCCAAAAGATGAAGGTGGCTTTGGGAGGTCTTCAACCAGCAGTGGATTGACAAAGACTTCTAATGACAACACCCAAATTATGATTTTTAGACAATAAAAGGCACGATTGTGGCCATAATATCAGTCCTCCCCACCATGAAGGGCTGCGTGAGACGAAGGGCTGCGTGAGACGTGAAGAGAGGGAGACGATCAACCTCGCTGGGAGCTGTAACGGCAACAACAACAACAACATTAACAACAACAGCAGCAGTAGTAGAGGCGCGGTTCCACGTGTGCACACGCAAGGACATCGACGTCTCGCTGAGCGTGAGTGGGCCGTCCCTTCAACAACAACACACGGCGTGTGTTGTTGTTGAAGATGGCGGCGGCGTGTCTAGCAGCGTGTGAGTTGTTTTGTGAGTTGTTTTGCGTGAGTGTAAACTGTGCGTGAGAATGTGTGAAAATGTGAGTGAGTGAGAATGAGCTGTGTGTGAGCTGCGTGTGAGTGTGTGTGAGTGAGCCGTGTGTGTGAGTGAGCCGTGTGAGAGTGGCCGTGACGAGAGGGACTTCTGCATTCGTGTGTGTGATGGTGTGGTGATGTGCACTCTGTGTGTGTGTTGGTGTGGTGATGTGCACTCTGTGTGTGTGTGTGTGTGATAGTGTGGTGGGGTGCACTCTGTATGTGTGTGATAGTGTGGTGATGTGCACTCGTGTGTGTGTGTGTGTGATGGTGTACACTCATGTGTGTGTGTGTGTGTGATGGTGTGGTGATATGCGCTCGTGTGTGTACCAGGCGCAGCCTGAGTGAGGCCTGGTTGGTCGCGCACGTGGCGCAGCCTGAGTGAGGCCTGGTTGATCGTGCACCTGGTGCGGCCTGGGTGGGGCCTGGTTGGCCGTGCACATGACACTGCCTGAGTGAGGCCTAGCTGATCATGCACCTGGCGCAGCCTGAGTGAGGCCTAGCTAGATCGTGCGCCTGGCGCAGCCTGAGTGAGGCCTAGCTAATAGTGCACCTGAAGCAGCGTGAGTGAGGCCTAGTTAATCACCTGAGCGAGGCCTAGGTAATACTGTACATGACACAGCCTGAGTGAGGCCGAGCAAATCGTGCATGTGGCGCAGCCTGAGTGAGGCCTGGCTGATCATGCACCTGGCGCAGCCTGAGTGAGGCCTAGTTAATTGTGCACGTGGCGCAGCCTGAGTGAGGCCTAGCTGATCGTGCACCTGGAGCAGCCTGAGTGAGGCCTAGTTAATTGTGCACGTGGCACGGCCTGAGTGAGGCCTAGGTAGTACTGCACATGCCACAGCCTGAGTGAGGCCTAGTAAATTGTGCACGTGACACTGCCTGAGTGAGGCCTAGCTAATCATGAACCTGGCGCAGCCTGAGTGAGGCCTAGTAAATCATGCACAAGGCGCAGCCTGAGTGAGGCTTAGTTGGTCATACATGTGGCGCGGCCTGAGTGAGGCCTGGTTGTGCACATGACGCTGCCTGGGTGAGGCCTGGCGGATCGTGCACCTGGCGCAGCCGGAGAGAGGCCTGGTTAATCATGCACGAGGCGCAGCCTGAGCGAGGCCTGGTTGACAGTGCACCTGGTGCAGCCTGAGTGAGGCCTAGTAAATCGTGCACCTGGCGCAGACTGAATGAGGCCTGGTTGATCGCGCCCATGGCGCAGCCTGAGTGAGGCCTAATTAATAGTGCGACGGACCACAAGCTGTGTTCCTGCCAAGGCGGCATTGCCACGGACCCCAAGCTGTGTTCCTGCCAAGGCAACATTGCCACGGACTCCAAGCTGTGTTCCTGCCAAGGCAACATTGCCACGGACTCCAAGCTGTGTTCCTGCCAAGGCAACATTGCCACGGACTCGAACCTGTGTTCCTGCCAAGGCAACATTGCCACGGACTCCAAGCTGTGTTCCTGCCAAGGCAACATTGCCACGGACTCCAAGCTGTGTTCCTGCCAAGGCAACATTGCCACGGACCCCAGGCTGTGTTCCTGCCAAGGCAGCATTGCCACGGACCCCAAGCTGTGTTCCTGCCAAGGCAACATTGCCACGAACCCCAAGCTGTGTTCCTGCCAAGGCAACATTGCCACGGACCTCAAGCTGTGTTCCTGCCAAGGCAACATTGCGACAGAGCCCAAGCTATGTTCCTGGAAAACTTCACGGAGATCGTCAAGACGGCCAAGGGTTGTGAATGAAGAGTCCCCTGTGTGGGCTTCAGTGGGGCCGTCTGGTCGGGCAGCAGAGACACGAGAGGCCAAGAAACGACATTCCAGCCGTGGGCTGAGCTCAAGGAGGGCTAGCTCGAGCACCATCCTGCGGCGGAGAAAGGAGGTGGTGCAAGCGGTTCAGCCGAGCCCACAACAACCAAAAATCTGCTGTCCCTGTCTGGGGGGGGGGGGGGGGGGCGCTGTTCAACCCTAACACATGGGCGAGAAGCCGTGCATGTTTGACGAGTGCGGCAATACGTTTTCTCGTGCCACACTCAACTCTACAAACAGCTACCCTCGTTACTTTGCATCCATATTTGTTGCTCGATTTGCCACTACATCTGCTAATGAAACAGTTCATAGACACTTTTACACTCCATCATTGTATCCTTTTAAACCCTATCTTTGTCCCATTACTTCACCAACACTCCTTCCAAACTTCATTCTGCTCTTAAAAATAACACCATCTGCGTGCTACTGCTATTCGTCCAAGGTTCGCCGCTCTTCATCCTTTCACAGAAAATACTTGTGCAAACTATTAATTCTACTTTTTTATTTCTGGGTGGTATTGAGCTTCATCCTGGCCCAAATGAAAATAACTCGTATAATCCTGTAGATTTTTCTGGCAGGAAAGGTGTTGGTGTTCTACATGTCAACATCAGAAGGCTTGTGATTAAATTAAGTCAACTAAAACTAGATGTGGCAAATCTTGACCCGGACATTTTTTGCCTAACAGAAACATTTCTCACTCCTGCCGTCAATGACTTGCAGATTGCGATTGACAACTACAACCTTTTTCGGCTTGACCGAGGATCTAAAGGAGGTGGAATTGCCATCTATGTTCATAATACTATTGCATGTTCACTAGCTCACTCCTTGTTTAGAAAATGTTGCTTTGAAGGTCTGGCTCTCGGAATATTTTTCCCAAATAATCAACAGATATTGGTAGTGTGCTGCTTTCGACCGCCTAGTGGGAAGGATGTTGAAGCTGCATCTGCACTGAGAGCTTTTTGGGGGCCTCCCTAAAGGTGAAATAGTTTAGTGGGTGATCTAAATTGGAATTGGCTAAACCCGCTAGCCGTGGCCACAAATTTTGCAGATGAATTTAATCTGTTTCAATTAATAAATGTCCCCACAAGACCCAACCTAAAAATTCCGGGACAGTCATCTCTGCTTGATGTCATATTGACACATGCCCCTCACAATTTCACACTGACTGGTGTTCTGGGTAATAACCTTAGTGATCACTCCTTCATTTTTGGGGTGAGATCATCAGCCAGATCCAAAGCCCCCCCTAAATTGGTTGAAAAGCACTCTATGAGACACTTCAGCACTCAGGCATTTACTAATGATGTGCTTCATTCGGATATTGACAAGATCTGTGATATCCCCAACCTTACTATGGCTTGGGAGACCTTCAGGTACACGTTTCTCCAAATTCTTAACAGATTTAAAACTAAAGGCAACCGCCCACCATGGTTTGATCCTTTGATTACAAAGCTCATGAAAACTAGGGACAAGGCTTGGGCGTGTGCTCAGAAAAGTAATTTGGTCAATGACTGGCTAGAATACAGGATTTTAAGGAATAGATGCGTCAAAAACATACTGCATGCAAAAAATGCCTACTTTTCCTCCACTCTCCTGGAATCATATGGAAATGCCAGGATTTTTTGGAAAACAATCAAATGTATTGAAAAGGCATCCAAAATAGACAATCTGCCCGTTGAGCTTAACCGAAATGGGGAATATTTTTCAGATCCCAAAAAAATAGTTGATAATTTTAACCTTCATTTTTCTGAAGCTGGTAATCTTTTTGATAATGTATTGGGAGTCACCCACTGCTCATGCATATTCCTACACCCCTGTCCAAACATCAAACGAATTTAGTTTCCAACCAATCCAACCTGTTCATCAAAGAAGCATCAGTTCCTCTAGAATGGAAACATTCCTATGTCCGTCCATTTCACAAAGGGGGCCCTAAAGATGATCCAAATAACTACCGACCTATCTCAATTTTGTCCCCGTTGATGAAAATGTTTTAAAAATTATTGACCTACCAAATTAGCAGTTTCCTGTCCACCAACAATCTACGACATCTAAAACAATCTGGGTTCCGAAAAAAATACAGCACCACATCTGCTGCATTAGACTCTCTGAATCACATTTACAGTAGCCTTGATAATAAGCAGTACTGTGCCTGTCTTTTTCTAGACCTGTCCAAAGCTTTTGATACAGTAGACCACAACACCCTGCTTTGTAAACTAAGCTGCCTCGGTTTTTCCGAAAACGCAGTAAAATGGTTACAAAATTACCTCTTTTCTCACACCCAAACTGTATTCACAGATGGTTGGAGGTCAAACAGTGTTAAGATAACAAAAGGGGTTCCACAGGGTTCCATCCTCGGCCCCCTTTTGTTCTCTTTTTATGTCAATGACTTGGACACTGACCTGGGTCATTCCAGGGTAAATCTTTTTGCAAATGACACGATACTGATTACTGCTGGCCGCTATCCAGGTGACGTGATAGCTAAGCTTCAGGGTGATTTCAACAAACTACAACATCAGCTAGTTGCTCTTAAACTAGTCCTGAATACCTCCAAAACCAAGGTGCTATGCTTCTCACCAGGACTAAAGGATGAAGTTATTTTTCCCCAATTACATTCCTTAAATAATTATCAAATAGAGCAAGTCAATATTTATATGTGTCTTGGGGTCATCCTGGATTCAAAACTGAATTTTGAAGATGACATTGATTATATTGGTAAAAAGACAAAAATAAAAATTGGTTTTCTGTATCGACACAAGCACTGCTTCCCCCCAATGTTCTGTTTGGAATTGATAAAAGCTACTATACTGCCTCTACTTGACTACTGTGACATCGTGTATAAATCAGCCCCAAGTACTGTACTGAAGAAGCTTGATTCCATCTATCACTCGGCCTTAAGATTTACATTGAACTGCCCATATAGGACTCATCACTGTGATCTCTACATTGGGTCAAACGTAACATCTCTTAATGTTCGACGGCTTGTGCACCAGATCTTATTTATTCACGATGTTCTTACAAAAAAATCCGCAGACTACTTGCTGGATCTCCTCTCTGTTTCAAAGAACAAATTTGACCTCAGGTCTTCGCTCATTTACCAGCTTCACATTCCCTATTGCCGTACGAAAACTGTAGGAAGGGCCTTTGCTATTGATACCCCCAGGGTCTGGAATGCTATTGCCAATAAACTGCAACTTGAATCGCTACCAATGAGATCTTCTCTCAAAACTTCTCTAGAGGAGTTGTACACCCCTAGCTGCCACTGCTATTCATTGGCGTAAAATAAAATGTTTCGCTCCGGATGACGCTGCAAAGTATTATCTTTATTTTGATTTAGCGTGCTGATCTTAAAGGTGCATTGAAAAATTTGATACTCTGACTGATGCTTCTGTTGTTTTGGAGTAACTCATGCAGCCAGCTATGGCTCTAGGATTTTGGTGTTACATGTTATTTATGTAGTTTATCGTAAAAATTCGGTCACAGTCGATATGATCACTGTTACGTTGCAATTATGGCTTTATTTTTTGTTGATTTCGAAAAGTTTTTTGGTTTGGACATGTTTGTTTTGTTGTAGTACGGAGTTAGACTGATGGCCTTAATCTAAGTTTTCTTGTGGTTGTTGTTTGACTTGCATCCCACTGGGATTTTTTGCACACAGCGTTGGTGTACGGTGCTTTTTTCAGGAATATTTTGCTGTTTTTTTTTCATGGATTTTCTGCTTGCAGAGTCATATAGTCACTTTAAGATGTTTTCTTGTTCGTGTTTTTTGTTTTTTTGTTTGTTGTGGTTGCACCCGATTCAAGAGCCAAATGGCTCACAGGGATATACCAAAATAAATAAAATAAAATAAACTAAACTAAAAAACTGAATGTCTTGCGGATACACGTGACGTCACCATTACTGTGCACAGCCTTAATTTAGACGGCCAACTCAAGAGTCACATTTGTGACCAGGCACCGTTGAATTTGTTTTTGGGAGTTTTGAGCACGGGTGAGCAGCGTGCAGCGGTAAATGTTGCTTCACCTCGTCGGCCTCCAGGTGTACATTTCTTCCAATTTGCGTTTAATTTTAATTGCGAGCGATGTCAAAGGGGCCATAACTCTAAATATACGACGTACAGTTTGATACACGATATATGCATTGTTTGTGTTTTTTTCCCATTTGAGACCCATGCATACTTAATCATGACATTGACAGCATGTGCATAGGCAATGTGTCTGCCTATTTACTTATGCATGTATTTATATTACGGGTGCTTGTACACTCAAGCCTGCTTGCTCGTGTGTGCCTGCGCCTGTTGGTGTGTGTGTGTAATTGTGAGCGTGCTTATGCGTATGCATGTGTGTTCTTGGCTGTGTGGGTGGATGTCATTGGGGTGTGTGAGTGAGTGAGTGTGGGCTACTTTTTTATTATGGGGCTGTGTGTATGTCAATTTGCATGAGTTAGTGTGTGTGTGGGGAGTGGTAGCGAAGTGGTTAGTGCACTGCACCATGAGCCCGGCAACCCGAGTTCGAATTCTGCTCATGACCAGCGTTAGTGACGATTATCTGAACCGGTCCTGAGCCTCATCTAGGTCGACTGAGCCTCAAATGAGTATATGACTCAGTTGTAAACATCCACACCAGTGAGATAAAGCAGCCGGTCGTGGTGCTAGCCACATCACCCCCTCGTGCACTGTGTTGACTTTCATAGGTGTTCGCTAACAGCACTTACTTTAACAGCCTGTTAAGACTATACAGGACAAGGTTTTTGTCTCTGTTGTGTATCAGTCCACGAGTATTCCGATATGTATACGTGCATTTGCTTGTGCATGCATATCCGTGTGTATGCTTGTCGACTCAGCCTGAAATGAGTACCTGGTACAGTGTGTAAAGATCGCCACTGGGGAGACAAAGGCGGTCGGGCATGGTGCTAGTTACCCACCCCCATGTGTACTGTGCCGGCCTTCATTGGTGATCGCTAACAGCACTTGCCCCAACAGTCTATTAATACAATACAGGGGATTTTTTCTTCCGTTTTATGCTTGTGTATGTGGCTGCACGTGTATGCCTATTCGTGTTGTACATGTTTGCCTCGCTGTGTGTGTGTGGGGCAGGGGTGGAGTTTTGGAGGCTGAGGGTACTGTGGAGATTAAGTTCCGCAAGAAGGACCTGGTGAAGACCATGCGCCGGGTGGACACGACCTACTCGTGTCTCGTTGAGCGGCTGGGTGAGTCTCCCGTTCAACCCTCAACAACAAAGACAAAGATCCCCGTGTAGCTGTACAGACTGTTGGGGGAAGTGCTGTTAGTCTGATTTTCCTCCCAAATGCTAAATCAACACTCAGAAAGGCATTGAAGGATTGAAAGTCGAAGAAAAGCTGAAAAGTGTGCAAAGAAGCACCTGAAACGATGCTGCTCAGAATTACCCACGGTTCAGGGAACAAACACAAATCAGACATCATATTGACCATTAATAAAAGTAAGCCTGCCATTGAGGATGGCAATGACATGGTGAGACTTTCATCCAGCAGTGGATAGACAATAGCTGATCATCATACCTGCTGTTTCGTGGATAAAATGATGGTGAGTATGGAATTGTCCAAAGATCCGAGGTATAGGCCTCAGTGTGACATGATGGCCAGGCTATAATGTTTATTCACCTATGTGTCTTGTTCTTTGTATGTATTCAGATTTTTTTCACAAGTAGAAACTGTGAAATGCAGTTGTCAGTAGCGCTCTGACGCATGAAGAATTCACAAACACATATAGAGATACTAAAATGTTAGCAGAGGAAAGTGCAAATCGCAGGGTGCGACGGGATGTTCATCATGCGACGGGATGTGCATCATGCGACGCAGTCACTCTAGCAGTGACACACTCACATCAGCAGCAGTAATGTGCTCACAGCAGCAGCAATAAAATGCTCTGAGCAGTGACACACTCACATCAGTGACATGCATGCATCAGCGATTCTGCTGCAGAGACATCAGTGTGTTATCAGTGACACGCTTGTATCGATCGTGCGTTTACATCAGGATAATTTCGTCATCGAATCGCTCATGTCGGTGGCACACTGCGGTTACACACTCGTGTCAGTGACATGTCATCGTCGACACTTGCACATTGATGCTTACAATCAGTTACATGCTTACGACAGCGAAATGCAAAAATAATTGACACGCGCGCATCAGTGACACTCCCGTCAGCGATACGGTCACCTCTACGAATCACTGAATATCGGTTACACATCACTGATACACTCACATTAGTAACACACTCGCAACGGTGACACAGTGACATTTTAGCATCACTGACACTTGTACCATTGAATCACTCACTTGAGTGACATGCACGAATGACGCACCGCCCTTTAGCAATTGTTGACACACTCACATCAATGGCACACTCACATCAGCTACTCGTGCCCATTGGTGATTTTCTCACATCATTGATACACTCCGATAATTAACACACTCCCATCATTGAACACGATTTCATAATTTAACACACTCCCATCAGCGACATAGTCACGTCATGCTTGACACACACTCACATCATTGACACACTCGCACCTAACGACTCGCTCACCACTGCCGGAGGGAGTGTGTTATTCAAATCCAGACAGCTCGGGGGGGTTGGGGGGGGGCGCCCCCTCATCCCCTCATTCCCACAAAGGCGTGGGACCGCGGGTGGCGCGTTCCGTACAGTTGTTCCCACAGTCCCCGGGAGTAATTCCACGCCATTCCCCACCGTCCTCTGGGAGCACTCTACATCTGCCCTACATCTATCCCGCCGTCCCTCAGGAGCGATATGCCTCTAATCTCTGGGCTCGGCTAGTAATCCTGCGGGTAGCCAAAGCTGGCTGATAACAAACATTTGGGAGCGAGTGGCTGCTTAGAGATAACCAGCCATGGCCAAAAGAGAGAGAGAGAGCACGCGAGAGACGGAGAAAATAAAAAAAGCAAACGCTCGCACGTACACACACATACACGCTCACGTGAAAAGAATAAGAAAAAAAACATCAAATCCATCTGTGCCGAGCTGTTACCTAAGCGTTCCATATTCATTGCCTTCACCCAGTGTGTGGGGGGTGGAGGGGTGCAAGGACAAATTTTCAGCCGGGCTTTTGTTTTGGGGCAGGGAAGGGGATTGTGTGTCAGGGCTTATAAGACCTTAGCCAGCGCAAACGGGAAAGAGATGGAAAAGGGAGCTTGCTTGCTTGCCTCGCTCTCAGGGGAGATGCACGCCACTTCGAAGGGTGGGAGAGTAGGGCACGGGTGGGGCGGGGGGAGGGGCTGTAAGATGCAGTGAGGGAGACACGCGCTTGTCGCTGGAAGTAGGAGGAGGATGAGGAGGAGGAGGAAGAGGTCAGATTTTCGGACTGACCGCGATCAGCAGGATGAGGAGAGCAGTGTCATGCTTCAGGAAACAATCGCTTATGGCAATGAGTTGAATGCTGGTTTATGCCGGACGTGTTGTTGGGGGGCCACGTCAGAGGTTTCTTGGCCTGTGGGGGGCACGACTGAGAAGTTGGGCGGGGGGGGGGGTAGGCAGCAGCGGCTGTGAGCAGGCTTGTTTGAAATAAGAAGGTGGGGCGTGCCGCAGAGCGTGGCTCCACGGGAGGGGTGGTGTGGGAGCTGTGTGCTGGGGGGGGGGGGGGGGCGGGGGACGGTGTGTGCGATGGAGGCGTTTGGTAGCCATAAGCCGTGTCGCGGGGGACCAGAGAGACGAGGCGTCAAATTATCGCCAGGCTTGCAGGAACACGCGCGCGCACCCGGGTTTTATCATGCAAACGAAGGGATTGTGCGCAGGGGTGCGAGGATTTTCATTCTGCCGCCGCCGCCACGCGGCGCGTGCCGGCGTGCGCTGAAACTGGGCTGAGGGGGGAGAGAGCCAGAGAGATGGGAGAGGAGAGAGAAATGGGAGAGAGCGTTTCGGAAAATGAGAGACAAAACGAGAGAGCTATGGAGTTTGGGATAGGAGGGAGAAGCAATGAGATGTAGAGTGAGCGGATGAGAGAAGAGAGAGAGTGGGCCCATGTGTATTTGTCAGCCCGTGTGGGGTCGCCCACTACACGTGCGACGCGTAGTACAGCGTCGCACTCTTGTGTTGCGTTTATTCATTATAAAGAAGCACACTGGATGACAATGATAATAATAATAATCTACAGCCCTTTGTCAATTCATGGCTGGATGAAGGTTTCTCCCATGCCATGTTGGTCATTAAACTTTTTTGACCATACTTCACTATGCTGGTCAGTGCATGTTGGTGAAGAGGGTGGCTTGCACTGGTTCACTCACCACTGTAAATTATTGCTTGATGTTGCTGCGTGAATGGTGCAGCAATGCATCACTTCATGAACAATGATTGTATGTTTTGGAAATTGTGTATATTGTATGTAATGAATTAATGTCACCCCTGGCGCAATTAGAGGTGCTACCATGTGATACAATGTTAAATAAAGAGTCGGATTTTGAATCGGAATACGATCTTGAAATGTAATAATTAATACACCAGGATAGGAACAGTTTTACTTTGATCATAATCGTGAGCCATGGTATATCAAGGATTGGATGAAGGCCTCCCCACTTTGTCTCCACTCCTCACGGTCCTGCGATCTCACAATCCTTCTAACTCCTGCACATGAACTGCTCTTATCATTCCATTTCCACAGTGGTCGTGCTCTCGTGTGCAGTCTATATACAGTGAGGGAAAAAAGTATTTGATCCCCTGCTGATTTTGTAAGTTTGCCCACTGACAAACAATTGATCAGTCTATAATTTAATGGTAGGTTTATTTGAACAGTTAGAGACAGAATAACAACAACAAAATCTAGAAAAACGCATGTCAAAAATGTGATAAATTGATTTGCATTTTAATGAGGGAAATACGTATTTGATCCCCTCTCAATCATAACGATTTCTAGCTCCCAGGTGTCTTTTATACAGGTAACGAGCTGAGATTAGGAGCACACTCTTAAAGGGAATGCTCCTAATCTCAGCTTGTTACCTGTGTTGCGGCGCAATCCACGACTCCGAAGCAGGTTGCGGTTAGGGGCTCACGCCACGTTTATTAAGGGCTTACGCCAAAGTGTGTTAGGGGCTTACGCCAAAGTGTGTTAGGGGCTTACGCCAACCCATCCCCCTAGCCGATAACTCCCCAGGGGACAGGGGTACCAGAATCCCTACAACCCCAACCTCGGCTGGTCGGACGGAGTAGCCTCCCCTAGCCTCGGGTGAGGATCAGCTCCCCTGAGTCCCCACTCCTACCCCTGACGACCCCTGTTACATCCCGGGTCCCCCTTTAAATACCCCCCTGGGGCATGACGTCACCATCCACCCAGGGTCCGCCTGACGTCACGTTCTGTGACGCCACTCTCCGAGGGCGAGCGTGACGTGACGTCACCCACTACTCCCCCCCCCGTGAAAAAAACAGCCGACCCGGCTGCAATCATCATGAGAGTGGGGAAACACGCGCGCCCACTAGAACCCCACAACATTAGGGCAGCACGGCACATGACAAAGTCAGGACAGGGCACCCCCCGGACCATGGAAAGAGGCCACGAGGGTTGGAAACAGAGAAGCCGGCCCGCCCCTGGCCGTCAGTGGATACGCCGGCCCCTCGAGCGTGTGTGAGCCGCCGGCCCATCCGCTGGTGTAGGCGCACCTGGCGGCGCCGTCGGTGGGGGCACCAGCGACGAATCCGCGGGCAGGCCGCTACTCCGTGCGGCCTTGGCCGTCGGAACAGGCGGATCGCCCGCCGGACCCAGGTCCGTAGCAGGCACCCCCCCCCGTACGGCCCGACACCGCCGGCTTCACCTGCGGGGGCTCTGCGGGCGCACACACGGGCAGGGCAATGCCCTCGTCTTCAGAACCCACCCGGCCCGGCTTGTCGTACGCATCAATTGGCGGCCGCTCCAGAAGTGGGGATGAACCCGGGAGGCTCGGCAGTACAACCCGCTTGAGCCTAGACAGGTGAACGATCCACCGGCGGCGACCCAACCTAATACGCACACACTGTGGCCGACGAACCTCCACCACCTCGACTGGACCCTGCCAAGGGCGATGCAACTTTGGGGACGTGCCAACAGGCACTTGGGGGCAGTGCAGCCATGCCAACTGGCCCCTTTCCCACGGAAGGCCAGCAGCCTGATGTTTGGACAGGCGCTTGGTAGCTGCCTGCTGGCTGGTCGAATTTTCCATCGCCGCTTGCCGCGCCTCGCGGTGCC